GGACTCGATCCCGGGACGCTGGGATCATGCGTGGGTCAGATTCTTTTTTTTTTTTTTTTAAAGATTTTATTTATTTATTCATGAGAGACAGAGAGCGAGGCAGAGGGAGCAGCAGGCTCCCAAGGAGCAGGGAGCCCGATGCGGGGCTCGATCCCGGGACTCCGGGATCATGCGTGGGTCAGATTCTGACCGTCCCATTTTGCTGTTGTTCATCCCCAGCACGGCCTGGCTTTCCTTCACCGGCTGCATGGCATCAGCGGTCACCACCTTCAACACATACACCCAGCTGGTGCTGGAGTTCAAGTGCAAGCACAGTAGGAGCTTCCGAGGAAAGCTGCGTTGCCTGCCGCACCACCAGCAGTGCTTCCTTGAGCGGCCGTCCTGTGCAGCCCCCACGGGCCGTCCCCTGACCAGCTACCACCAGCACCACCCTCAGCCCGTCCGCTCAGTCTCTGAAGGAGCTGACTTCTACTCAGGGCTACACCACAAGGGATTTCGGCAAGAACCCAGCCGGAGGCTAAAGGAAGAGGTGGCTGGGTCATCCGCAGAGGAAGAACTGTGTTAGAAGTAGCCAGGTTTAGAGGGCAGGCGGAACCCAACCTCCCATGTTCATTTGCGGTCAACATGTACTGAAGCCAGAGTCTGTCTCTCGAGCATGGTTTTCACAGGTTCAGGACAAGCCTATCTAAAGTGCAGGTCCAAAGGGGTGCATGCCAGGGCACCACTGCCCCTCTTCCTTCCCAGCGCTTCCCTTCCCTTCCCATGTCTCGTTTCGCCACCCCCCATCCCGTGTTCAGAATCACCCCCTCTCCTTTACCGATGGCTTGTTATGCGCCACGCTCCGGGCTCAGCAGCGGAGACAAAAAAGAGAAGTAGAATCCAGTTCCTGCCCTTTAGGGGCTTCTCCATCTGGCCCTCTATCTGGGATTTGGAGGAATGCAGGCGGGCAACTCAACAGCCGTCCATGGTGGCTCAGCCTTCCCTGGTGCACTTGACTTTTCCTAGAAGTCATAGAATGGAAGACAAAGAGGCCCTCCTGGGACCTTGGGCATGTAGGACCGATGTCCTCCACACTGCCTATTACAGTGTCCCACACCCACATGGTATGGACCCAATGGAAGTTTAAATATTAATCTAGAAGCCACCAGGGGACTAGTACACATGAGAAGGCCCCCACAGCATGCAGGGACAGGTCCACTTCCAGAAATGGTCCACTGTAGTTATTCGTAGGGGATTTATGGTAAGGGACACTTCCGCAATGAACAAGGCCACGGCATACACTCCCCTCTGGATCCCCAACTCACCCACCCACCTGTTCTTCCTCTTTTCCATAAGGGAAAACAAACCATGGCGATGGCTAAGAAGAATGAGAATGACACACAAGTGTGTTTCCTATACATAGTATTTATTTGTTCTCCAACAATTCACATTTTAAATAGTGCTTCCTGACAATATACCAGCTGGCTCTTCTGTAGTATGGACAATAAAAGTAGCAATTCACATTCAAGGGGGTTGGTATCGGCATACCCGACTGGGAGGGGGAGTAGAGAGAATCTGGGGGTTGGGAGGATGCTGTCTAGGGTGGAAGGGGCTATAAGGATAGCAAGGAGGAGAGCTTGGGAGAAGGAAGATCCTTATACCTGCACGAGTCACTGCTATCCCTAAGTGGCAGTCACACTGGCCTTGCTTGAGTGGGGGAAGGAAGGAGCTCTTCCTATCTTAGAGGTCCGGCTGGGTGGGTGCCTACCAGGAGAAGGGAGTGTCGGGACACACCTGACAGGCTAGCACCCACGCTGGACAGATGAAGCTTCCGCAATCCTCGGCCACCATTCCAACCCTCTACCCTGGCTGCAGGAGGGAGGAGAAACCTAGAGCCTGTCCCGTGTCTGGCAAAAATGGATTCAAACTTCTGAGAGTCAAAACAATCTATGTTAAGTTAGTTTGTAAACACACCATGAAGAATTTAGGGACTGATGCTCTTCTAGCTTCCTCTTATTTCTGGGACTCACCCGGTATAGACACCATCTTCTACCCAAAAAGATCCCCGCCCCCTTCC